CCCCAACGCCTCAGATCACTTCACTGCACCTGGCTAAGAAACAGTCCAACGCAGCCATCGCAGGAGAGAGTGAGGATGATGACAGTGAGAGTGGGGGGGAGGGGATCTTCAGAGAGAGGGATGAATTTGTGGTGCGCACTGAAGATATTGGTACTCTTAAGGTAAAAATCCCTTGCTTTTTTGTTTTTGTAGTTTTTTATGTATACAGTTAATATTTAGATGCTTGCAGGGATTCACCCAAAAATTATAATTCTTTCATCATTACTCACCTTCATGTCGTTCTGTGGAACATAAAAGAAGATAATTTGAAGAATGCTGATAACCAAACAGTTTTGAGTCCCTTTGACTTCTATTGTATGGTCAAACATTATAATTGAAGTCAATGGGAACTAAAACCATTTGGTTGCCAACATTCTTTAAATTATCTTCCTTTGCATTACGCATAAAAAAGAATGTCATACATGGTACAACATGAGGGAGAGTAAATGATGAAAGAATTGTAAGAATTCTTCCGTAGTGTGACATACATCCGAGTGAAACATCCCGCTCTCTCTCTCGTGAAGCCAACACGGAAGTGACTTAAACTGTAATTCATTGACTGTCCGCTAGAGGCTGGCTGCAAAAGGGAGTCAATCCCATAGACTCCCCATGTTACAATGCCCAACTTTACAGCAGAAAAAAACATGTTTACAGCCTGGTTCAAAAAATGATTTTGGTCTATATAGCTAATTTTGCCCTTCATGACAACTGTGAGGGGGGTGAATTTTTTTATAACTCATCCGTTTAAATTATATTAAGCCTTAAAGTTCTGCAAAATTAAGGGCGTGGCCACTTGAGTGACAGGTGGATTGCCACTGCTGTCACCGCCATCAAGCTAGGTGGGCGTGGCTTCAGCAACCAGCTCCCGCCTTTTTGCCCATTTTCGATTATCCGGGAGTGATGCGCGGTGACACGCTGCCAAGATGGCGACGGCTGGCTCCGCCCAGTTTTGAGCTTCATAAACACTCTTTAGAAACCTACGGGTGACGTCACGGACACTACGTCCATGTTTTTATACAGTCTATGGTTCTTTGTCTTTTGACACCCAAAGCACCAGCTCTGAACCAGGAAAAGTGGTTCGTAAGTAGCACCAAAACATTTCTGGTCTAGAAGTAAGAACCGCTTGCGTCAGAGGCTGGAGGCAGGGTGACCGTGACCAACAAGACAAACAGAAACTTTTGACCTCCATTTTTTAAATAGCAGCTAAACACGATTGATGCAATTAATCAAAAACAACCGTGGTCTGTGGAGGAAACTTCTTTCTTGCACTTTGGTCTCAATTATTAAGTTGGCTTGAAAAAAACTACTTACTGAAATCCTATTTAAACCTTCTTCTTCTTCTTCTTCTTCTTCTTTTTCTTCTTAGACCAAATTTTAAAATGTATCTCCTAGACTTTTAAAGCTACAACCACCAAACTCGGGTCAGACCTTCAGACTGGTCTGACTCGGGTTGCTATATCTTTTCTACCTGATCCGGCGTACGGTTTTCGTAAACCAGACTATCAAAACCACCTAAAATCTCATATACTTTCATTGAGGGTGTGAAAAATTTTATACAATGAGACATATGGTGTATTTCAGCTGTCTACTGCCATAGCAAAGCTTAAAAACTCCCTACTGAAAAAACCGCTAAAACCAGCCTAAGCTGATTGGCTGCTTTGGCTGGTCTCCCAGGCTGGTTTTAAAGTGGTTTTGGCAACTTTTTAGCTGGCCAGGCTGGTCTTAGCTGGTCAAGCTGTGAGACCTGTTAAAAGACCAACCAAGCTTAACCCATATATTTTCAACCTAAACCAGCTAAGACTAGGCAACCAGCCTAAGCTGGTTTTAGCTGGTTTTGAACAGTTTTTTTTTTTTTTTTACTGAATCATCTGGTTTTAGCTGGTTTTAAGTGTATTAGCATAGAAACAGGCAAACAACATGCTAGTAACATGCTAATCATGCTAGAAACATGCTAGCAACATGCTAGTAACTTGCTAATCAGGCTAGAAACATGCTAACCACAATGCTAGTCACTTGCTAATCATGCTAGCAACATGTTAGTTACTTGTTAATAATGCCAGCAACATGATAGTGACATGCTAATCATGCTGGAAACACGCTAGCAACATGCTAGTAACATGTTAATTGTGCTAGCAACATGTTAATCATGCTAGCAACATGCTAGTAAAATGCTAATCATGCTAAAAACATGTTAACAACATGCTAGTCATGCTAGAAACAGTCTAGCAACCACCCTAGGTAGCCTAGCAATATGTTTTATACCTATCTGTTTTTCTTATAGATTGTATTGCCTTGAAAACATTCAAACTTTAATCTTTAAAACTATTTTAACTTTCAAATTACTTCAAACTGAAAACTTTCAGACTGCAAGCTTTTAAAACTTTTTCAAACTTTCTAGCTAGGCTTTTTCAAGCCAATTTAAATTTTGTTTACAAACTTTTTAATCTAGTTCTCACTTGTAATCTCTGTCTATACAAACTACGGTGAGCTGCACAAACACGTTGGATTCGCCATGTTTGGATGCCAATGTAGGTTCACAATGCCATGAACATCAATAACAATGCAATGTCCGCCATTGTTGATGGTGTGTTTGGCCTTGCCACGCTAGCGTTGCTGGGAAAGATGACACGTATTCAGTGACGTAAGACCTGGCTCTGTGGTGGCTCTCTAGCCCATGGAAAGCAAACCGGTTCTTAGAAGGCTTGCTAGTCGAACCAACTCTGAACTGGCAATAGCACTAGCTCTGAACCAGCACCTGGTTCATGCTACCCGGAAAAGGGGCACAAGAGAGCTACTGTCCAGCAGTTCAGATCCAACCTCAATCAAACACACCTGAACCTGCTAATCAAGCTGTTCAGGGTAACTTGAAAATTACAGACAGGTGTGCTGAAACATGATAATGTCATATTGTAGCACCTGTGTAGTCTCTGAAATTTCATTGCATTCCGATGCAATGACAATAAAAGCTTGAAATTGAAATGATTGGAACTGTAGTCTGCAGAACGGTAGCCCTCCAGGAGCAGGTTTGGAGATCCATAGTCTGTCTCTTGTTGTTTGAATTGAGAAGTGGGTGTTGCAGTCAAAAATAAATGCTTAGAGTCGATTGTGGAAAGGCAGGGTTTAAGCAGACTAAATGATTGGAAAAATCTGCTATACAGTGAGAAGTGAGAAGTCTGTTGCTTCTAAGGAAGGTCCAGTTATGTCAATTGAATTAAACATTACAAGGTCAAAAAATTTTACGTGCATGGATGAATCATTAACAATAAGATCTATAATATGCATTTGCAAAATAGAATATGAATTATGAAAAATGTGTTTTTATTTAATGCCGACTTAACTTGCTCAATTCTCATGGCTTTTCTCAGCTGGCACTGCAGACAGGACGAGAGCCTCCTCCAATATGGAGGGTCCAGAAAGCTCTGCTGCAGAAGTTCGCTCCTGAAATCAAAGATGGACAGCGACAGTTTTGTGCTACCAGTAATGTGAGTGTTTTTGTATTTGATAAGCATTGATAGCATGCATTGGATGGCTTGCATAAAAAAAGTAATACTACACCACCTCCTTAAACTCACGCTATCTGTCCTCTGTCACTCTTTGGCAGTATTTGGGCTACTTTGGAGATGCAAAGATGCGTTATCAGCGTTTATATGTCAAATTCTTGGAGAATGTGAATAAAAAGGATTATGTCCGAGTGTGCTCGCGGAAACCCTGGCATCGGCCCAGTCTCACACTGAGGTAATTTCACCCTAAATGCACTTCTGGAGCTACTGTGGTCCTGTACTATATTGCAGTTAATAGAGTAGTTACTGTTAATCAAAGAATTATGTGATCATTTACTTACCCACATGCTTTCAAAACCTAAATGTTGTTGCTTTTTCCGTGGAGCACAGAATTTTTCAAGAATCTGCAGACAGCTTGTTTAATAAAACAGTTCACAGTGGTGCTATGTCTATCAAGAAAACAAAAAACACTAAAAAGGCACCATAAATGTGGTCCATCTGACTTATACGCTATATTCAGTCCTCTGCAATCATACAATAGGTTTGTGTGAGAAAGCAACACAATTGAAGTATTTATTCATTGATAATCTTTCAAATGCTTCAGCTCTCAAATAAAATATTGGCGTTATTATAATTGATTTTGAGATATGCGAGAGCTAATGACATTTGATGTTGCTGACGTAAAACCTGTGGCATAGGCTTAAATCTTAACAGAAATTCTTCACTATGAATGAACTGTCATTGTGTGGAAAAGACATTCCTCAGAAAAAAAACACAGTATATGGGTTTAAAATTACGCAAGGCTGAGTAAATAATGACAGAATTTTCATTTCAGGCAAACTGTCAATTTAATCAGTATATTGTCGTTGCTAAGATGAATGTCTTTTCTTCCTACCAGACGCCAGTCTCTTCCTAAGCCACAACCTGTACGCAGCCTGACTCCACCTCGCATGGAAAGAGAGGATAGAGAGAAGGAGAGAGAGAGACAACGGGAGAAAGAGCAACGGGAACAAAGGGAAAAAGAAAAGGAGAAAGAGAGAGAAAGAGAAAAGGAAAGGGAGCGAGAACGAGAGAGGGAACAGATCGAGAAATCTAGGAGAGAAAAGGAGAAAGAAAAGTTAAGGGAGAGAGAACTTGAAAAGCAAAAAGAGAAGGAGAAACAAAAAGAAAGGGAAAAAGAGAAACAAAAAGAAAGGGAAAGAGAGAAGGAAAGAGAAAAACAACGAGAGAGAGAAAGGGAAAAGGAAAAACAAAAGGAGAAGGAGAGAGAGAGGGAGAAAGAGAAGGAAAGGGAAAAACAACGAGAGAAGGAGAGGGAGAAAGAGCGAGAGAAGGAAAAGAAGCTCCAAGAGCGACAAACTCAAGAGAAGCTGGAGAGGAGAACAGCAGTTGTGGAGCGCGGGAGGGTCAAAGAGGAGAAGAGGGTTGACAGGACGAGGAGCAGGCCTGTGAAAGTAAAGGCAGAACCTCCACCTAAAAAGAGGAAGAAGTGGCTGAAAGAAATGCCCTCTTCCTCTGATTCAGACTCCTCCCCTGATCCGCCTAGTGAGGATGAAGGTGTGTATGGGTTGGCTATTTGTGTGCAGTATACCATGTGTGTCCATTTGAGTGTAGTTTTGCAGAAATACTCAAAGCTATCAGCAGCTTCAATCAGTGTAACTGCACTATACCTTGCCGTTCAAAAGTGTGGGGTAGTAAGATTTTAAAATGTTTTTGAAAGAAGTCTCTTATGCTTTTATTCAAATACAGTAAAAACAGTAATATTGTGAAATATCATTGCATTTTTAAAACCTGTTTTCTATTGTATTATGTTTTTAAAATGTAATTTATTTCTGTGATGGCAAAGCTGAATTTCAGCAGTCATTACTCCAGTCATCAGTGTTACATGATCCTTCAGAAAGAATTTTGGTGCTCAAGAAACATTTCTTGATTTTTTGTGGAAACTGCTAAATTTTTTTTCAGGATTCTTTGATAAGTATAAAGTGTAAACCACTGCATTTATTTGAAATACCACAGACTACATTGTGACAAAACTGTCATATTTGAAAATGTATTACATAATATACATATATTATATATATATACTGTATATACACACAATCTGTCTGTAAACTAGCACACTGTATGCCATGATGGACACTGAATTTAGTTAATTTTGCATTTCCTGTTTTGTGGAGCCAAAACTAAGTTGTTAAAGAGAGAGAGAGTGTGTGTGTATGTGTGTACTTTTTGGTGTGTGCCTTCTGTTTTTTTCATGTGTTTTGCATCTGTTCTATCCTCAGTATCCACACGCAGTGGAATAAACAGTCGGGCCATGAGAGAGATGTTCCGCAGTTATGTAGAGATGCTGGTCAGCACTGCTCTGGACCCAGACATGATCCAAGCTCTTGAGGACACCAACGGTGAGTGCACATCATTAGGTGAAATATAAAGTGCATGTGTGGAGGATTGGGTGGGGTGATTAAGGGAGAGAAGGATGTTTAATAAAGCAAAGGAGGTTGAGAGAGAGGACAATGAGGTGAGACTGGAAGAATAATGACAAGCAAACGATGCTTAGAAAAGAGGAGTGGAAAGTTACAGTGACTAATGCAGGCTGTTTTAGATTCAGTAAATTAAGTTTATAGGCCACTGATGTCATCTTTCCATGCCTAAACACAAATATATCTGAAAAACTAACATATTGTAGCAATAAATAAACCTGTGCTGATAGATAAATGTGCAAAAATATTTAAAACAATTTAAAACACTGTTTTAAACTGGCAATTTGCTAATTCTTTTGCTAGTTAAATATTGATATAAATTGATCAAAAGTGACAGTAAAGACAGTTATGATTTCAAATAAATTTAGTTTTTTAAACTTACTTTACATTCATTAAAGAATTCTAAAAAGAAAAAAAAGTATAATTTTCCACAAAAATATTAAGTAACACAAGTGTTTTCAGTGTTGATAATAATGCAGACTTCATGTGCAGAAGAGACTTCTTTCAAAAATATTACTATCAAAAGTGACAGTAAAGACAGTTATGATTTCAAATAAATTTAGTTTTTTTAACTTACTTTACATTCATTAAAGAATTCTAAAAAGAAAAAAAAGTATAATTTTCCACAAAATATTAAGTAACACAAGTGTTTTCAGTGTTGATAATAATGCAGACTTCATGTGCAGAAGAGACTTCTTTCAAAAATATTACAAATATATATAAAAATCCTACCACCCCCAAACCTTTGAACGGAAATGTGAATCTAAAGTAATGGTATTTTTCAATTTAACAACTCGGTACCAATGCATTATCACTGGCTCCTCCCCTTTTGTCCTCAGATGAGCTTTATCTCCCACCCATGAGAAAGATTGACAGTATCCTCAACGAACAGAAACGAAGGCTGTTGAGAAGGGTCAACATGAGTGTCCAGCATCAGGTGACACTGGCTTTCAGTGATACTCAAATGCTGTTCCTCTTGAGTACTCAAGACTTGTTGATTTGTGTTTTCTAAAGAACATGTCTAGCAGTCTCTCACTCTCCCTCCTTTCCCATTCTGTAGGAGGCTCTGCACATGTTCCCTCAAATGACAGCAGACCCCCTAGACTCTGGAGCGGTTAAAGTGCACCTGGGTGGTGAGAGTTACAACCGCAAAACCCTCAACAGAGTCAAAAGGACCCTTCCCAAACAGCAGGCATGTTGTATACACAATTGTTTCTCACTTACATAATTAAGCCGTCCAATAAGAAGTATTTGGGCACTTCAGCCATACCTAAAAATAAATATAAATGTTGTTGAATTATAGGGTTATAATCGGATTGATCATCGAATCAAATGAGTAACTATAAGATACATTGATGCAATGCATAAAAAAATCTCTAGATGTTTTTATAAATTAATAAGATACATTAGATGACTTGTCTGACTGTTAAATTATGGTTGCGTTTTTAAGGTAATAAAAATGTAACTGGTTGTGTAAAAAAATTATATATATTGCTATATCAATCGCAGGCTTCTAAATCTAATCAAATTGTAATCATATCATAGCGTTTTTTGAGGTATCGGCAAATAATGTATTGCTGGCTAAGAGAATCGATTTCAGATTGTATCATGACGAATTGTTCGATTTACCACCCCTATTGCACTATATAATGAAATATTAAACCACACTGTTTTAATTTTAAAGATAGACATTACAAGCTCACTTTATAAGGTAAAAAGTTAATTGTTTAAGTTAAATGTTAGTTGAATAAACATAAATAATGTGATGAACTGTGATCTCTGGACCATTTGTTTAAACATTGCAAAAATGGTTGCAGATGCCAACTGATTTGATGTTTTGTTATATAATGCAATGAAGATAACGCAATGAAGAACAAGGAGAAGATATTTTGAGGAATGTTTTAACTATTTTTGTCCATAAAATAAAAGTCAGTTTGACTTTCATGGTAAAAACACTGCATTATATCTTATTTTTTTTCTACACAGATGAAAGTAAGTCATAAAGGTTCTTTGGTGAAGTGTCCAAAAGCTTTTTGGGGTCATTGTATTTCAAATCAGGCTTTCCGCGGGTCCTTAAAAAGTCTCAAATTTAGTTGTATCAAATTTAAAGTCATAAAATGTCTTAAATGATACAAGAAAGTCTTAATTATGATTTCAGGGGGTCTTAAATTTGAGGACGGAAAGACGAGAATTGGGATATGGCTGAATGTGGCGATTAAACTTCAAAAGGCTTTTGATTATTTTAAACAAAGATTTTGTTGATTAAACATGAGAGCTGCAAGTTTCAAAGTCATGTGCTGCACTGCTTTGTTTACTGCCATTACCGGGGAAACCGCTGTATTTCTGCCATTCCGAAAGCGCCTCCTGCTGGCAGAGAATGCATGTGCATTTTCAACAATCCAGTCTGCTGTTTTCGTTCAGACCGATGTGAAAATCAACCCATGTTTTTAAGTTACAAACATGCAGAGTTGTAAATGTGAACTGGTGGATCGACAAGATAATGCATTATATTTAATATAATGATTGATAATAATTGTTTAAATTAATATAATAATTGATCATTTTGACTCATACGTTTTCTTAAAAATGGTTTAAAGGCTGAAATGTGAAATTTATTTTATTTATTTTTTTTTGTGAAAACCTGTGTCCGAACTGTAAATCATGCTTTTTACAATCATTTTACAGTTTAATATGTTACCATAGACATTGGTATTATATGGTATTAATTGTATTTGTGCAGGTCTTAAAAAAAGGTCTTAAAAAGTCTTAGATTTGAGCTTAAAAATTTCAATAATACATCTGAGCTGAAATCTGAGCTCTCTTTCTTTACTTGTAACCCCATCTCTCTCTGCTTGCCAGGACCTGAAGCTGTCGACAGAGACTTGTCGAATATACAGTCTCTATCACTCTCTCCATCACTACAAATATCACACCTTTTTGCACTGTAAAAAGGAGGTATGAGGAATTATGAACTTATTTGAGAAATGCAACACTGTATCCATGTATGTGCCCGTAAAAACCCTCTCCTCTCTTTCTCCCTCCTCAGACGGACAGCATAGAACAGGCAGCGGAGGAGGATCCGGGTCAGGAGGAGGTGGTTCAGCAGTGCATGGCCAACCAGGGCTGGCTAGAGACTCTGTTCAATTCCTTCATTGAACTGCTGACGCTCAGCACCAAGGCTTAAGATTCAGCTGTCGACGTTCCAAGCACATCCTATTTGGAGAAAGGAGAAACTCTTCTCTCTCAAACAAAACCAGTGCACCTCCAAGTTGCAGGAAAATTAGATTTTCCTTTGCAGAATGTGTAAGTTTTAAGTTGTTGCATTTTAACATAAAAATGTTTTTGTAAAGCTTTCATTCCTCTCTCTTTCATTATGTGTCAGCTCCCTGTGACGGGAGCCACAGGGAGACGGTATGAAAAAAAAAAAAAAAAAAAGAGCGAGCGAGATTGTGTAAAGACAATTGTCTGCACAGAGACGAATAAAGATAGTGCCAAAGGGAACAGGGTTGAAAACCTCACTGGTCAGCAGTGTTTTGGCAGGTGAGCTTTTAATGCTATGTTCCATGCACACTCTTATATATAAATATGTATTATGAACAATTATGATTTGTATTATTTATACATGGACATTTATACATGGTTACCTCCCAAAGCTGGGGCAGTTTGCTGTTATTATTTTGAATAATAATGCTCATGTTTTATGAGGGTGTACATGAAATGGGCCACCCGTAACCCCCTATTTTTCCTGTCCCCTAAGCTGAAGGACAAGGAGCAGTGTGTGGTTCCTTTTTTGTCAAAAAAAAAAATCGAGCAAAAGGAAAAATGTATTTAAAAAAAAAAAAAACTTTCTGTTTGTTCTTTAAAAGAAAATGCGGAAATAGAGTTGTATTTGTTCGTTTTCTCAAAGGAAACATGACGGTGCAGAGGGATGTAATAGTTTTAAAGTGTGCAAAATGTCTGTGTTTACTGTTTGGTTTTTTTTATCTGTTGGTTGTTTACTATGATAATTATTATTGTTATTATTATTTTGGAGGTTTGCTTATTTCTCTCCTCTGTAAATATTGTACAGTTGCTTCAGTCTCTCTCTGTCCCTCATCTGTACATGAATCCTCCTGTATTTGACAAACGCAAATAAAAGAAAAGAAAATGAGTTTATGAAAATGATGCATTTTCACACGAGACTGACTTGGATTTTTTACTTTATTTGTTCTAGACATACATGCTGGTATTTTGTACGGGTAGGAACGATATCGTGAAAGGAAATACATTAGAAATCAAGCAGAACCGTCAAATAACCTGCGCTAAATGTTGTAATTAGGTTCAAAGTGTACTAATCAATCTGTAAATGAAAACATTTCTCTGAGGATTTGAATAACGACGTCGTTTTAATTGAGCGTTCTCGGTGCAGGATGCCAGCATATGGAGCGTCAGGTGATCCAACCTCGGCAGCTCTCTTCAAGGTAAACATTCCACTCCTGCTAGAGCGCGAGAGAAAAAAAGGAATCCGTAGAACTGCATTTCCTGTTGTTACCATGGTAACAAAACCATGGCAACACCAGCAGCATTTTCCAGGAGCGTTTGTCTGTCTTCGGTGTGATGGCTGTCTCTCGTTGTCTCTTTCTTTCCTCTTCTGCTTCTTAGTAGCTTCCTATTTTACGGGTTCTGGCTGATATCGTGATTCACACAAAGAAATTACAAAGAAACGACATTTTCCGCTATTTTGTGTCCATCATAAATTATTATTATTATTTGCATCCCATATTCTTTTCCTCACACATCATACAGAGCTTGGCTTATTCTGTTTCGTGTCTCAATATTATTTCCTTTTACATCCCATATTTACAACAACTGATTAAATGAAACGATAACTTATTTCCTTATTATTGTAAGTTATAGGATTTTTAGATATTAATATTGTTTCAGCGCTATATCAGCCATTGGTATAAAATATCTCGCACCTGTCTGTCATTAATCATCATCATGATCATGTTGACATCATTCCTGCTCGGTTTCACTATCTTCTTCCTCCTCTTCTTCGTCCTCCTCCTCCACAGCGCTGTGCCTCGTCTGGCCACAAAGCGGCGCTAGTTTGCCATCCGTTGTCACTCCCATTGGCTGAATGACTTTGCCTCTGAGCGGGTGTGGTAGAAGTATACGAATGAGTAAAAAAATGCATATATATATATATATATTATATATATGGTGATTACCTATCCACTACACAAATGTTTTGAAAAGGAAATCAGTGATGATTTCACCACATTTATGGTGGAATCTCTCTGACACACACATACCGTGAGAGCTTGTTGAACATATTTATGAGTCTGAGCGCCTCTGCCTCTTTCTCTTCTTCAGTCATTCCTTCCATAGGATCAGGCTGTTCCACCTCCACCCGTCCCGTCACAGGGTTAATCCTGTCCTTGGCCTGTCTGTACTCCTCCGTGTCTGAGTCAGAGTCACTGGAGTACTGCGGTTGAGGAGAGGGGCCACGGCTGTTCAATAGACCCCGTGCCGCCAGCAGCCCCGCTGCATTACCGTAACCAGTGTACTTCACAAACCTGCTCACTGGGAGAGAAAGAGTTCACGAATACCATACCAACAACACTATCTTAAATGTCAGAGAAAGGTGTATTATGAATAGAGTGCTGCAGGATGACATTTTTGTAGACCAAAATCTGGAAATGAATTAGAATTTTAGCATTTCTGGTTCCATTGTCCTAAAGGCAATGGGTTTTTTGAATGGGTCTTTGGTTAAATGCCTGAAATAAGTGTTGTGTTTTAAGACAAGCTCAAGATATTTTCACATTTTAACTATTGTAATTCACACTTTAAGGACAATTGCTTTTAAATAAAGATTGAGAGAGTTGTCGGAAGCTTATAGTGGTGGTGACATTAAAGTCATGCAACCGTGGTATAGTTCGTTAACTTCTGGGTTGGCCTACAAAAGTATTACATCCCTCCAGCACTTACATGTTCAATTATAACATGCTCATACCATGATACATGAATATGATATTCATTCAGTTTCACGGTATATATAAATAATAATTGTCAGTGCACTTTACATGGTTCAGTAGATGCATCTATGTACCATTTTCTTTACAGAGCACAAAGAGAAGCTCAGCTGCACAGTGTTTGATATCAGTGTCGACATGGGTCATTAGTCGCACTAGTTTGCCCCTCAATGTGTTCCCCTGTTCAGGCCTCATCTCAACGTCTCTCAGTGGAGGCAGGATCTGCTCAAAAATAGCACAGGATCAAGCTCCTGGTACACAGCCACGAGAATAACAAGTATGTGTCAAACTTAATGTTTTATATTTATAGAGTGCTCCAAAAGTAACACTTAATAGGCTCACACCAAGAACAATAACTATTATGATAACCATAACTATACATTTTTAGTAATCGTTCTAATTCTATGAGAATAGGGAAGTCCATACCACAGCTATAATGATAACGGCACAGAGAAACAATATAGTTGAAATCACTTTCAGAATGAATTTTCCAGCTGATAAACTATAAAAACATTGATAGCCAAACAGACAACATAAATGCAGCACGCTATTATAATAAGTTGGTGTGAACCATAATATAATTATTGCTATAGTTGTCTTAATAGCTATTGTTCTTGGTTTGAACAGCCTTAAAGCACACTACATTGGTGAAAATGTTTTTTAAAAAGTATTTTGAGATGAGTATCGTACCTGCTGTCTGAGATAGTGTCTAGTTTCCCTGTGTGCTTTGCTGCTCTCAGTCAACAGGTTTAACACTGGAGCCAACTTTTCCTTCAGCTTATAGCCCTGTATAATTCACATTTGAAGACGTAACATTTATAATGAAATACATTTTACAAATGCTAAATATTTTGGCCTATATCTCCACATTTAAGAAGATAAACCTCTGGACCGTTAAAAATTTAAATTCTGGCATCATTGTTGTTCAAAATCTGTTGACATTTTTTCTTCTGTGGAACACAAAAGAGGATATTTTGAAGAATGTTAGTAACCCAACAATTTTGGTTAACATTGATGTATGGACATTTCTCAAAATATCGTCTTATATGTTCCAAGGAAGAAAAGATTTTGAACGACAGGAGGTTGAGTAAATGATGAAATAATTTTTATTTTGGGGTGAACTATCCCTTTAACATGTATGTTATGGAAACTGAACCCCAGTCTATGAGGACCCTGGAAATCAAATCCTTAACTTTGGCCTTACAAGTGCCATGTTCTTGAGCTACAGGGACACTAGACAGTTCAGAGCGCTCTTTCTCACTCTGTCCAGTCTCTTCTCCATGAAGAGCAGCAGAGTGTGAACGCAGTCCATGTTGACTCCGCCGGACTCCTTCGAACCTTCAGATAGGCGAACGGATAGCAGAACATCTAGGCACTGCAGTGGGAGCGCTGAGAGCACGTTCACTGTGTGTCTGTGGATATTCACCACAGGAGAGTTATAGAGATCAATAGGATGAGACCTCTCAAGATTTACAGTGGTTTGATTCTCACTCTTACCCTTGTAGTTCCTCTTTTCTATCCTCTCCCTCACAGGGCACGAGTAGACAGTGACGCAGGACCGCAGCAAGGTGACGATACAAATCTACAGCCTCCTGTGGCAGAAGAAAGAAAACCAAAACAATATTACAATGAAGTGGATAGGTGTGATTATTTTTTTATTTATTTTTTGTTCTTAACATCAGCCCCACACGATTTGTGGGGAAAAAAGATTGTGGTGTCATATTAAGAATTCTTTCCCACGACTGTTTTATTATTTTGTCCTCTTGTTTTAGTTAAATCCACTTTCTAATTTTGTTCCCCTTGTGTCAAGGCCACATTGTGAGAATTAGCAATGGATTTGATGATATGTACATTTTTGTGCTATTTGTTGGTTTGTTGATAAAATTGTTATTGTTAATAATCCTGTATTTTTGCTGGCCATTGTGTGAATGATCAAGTAAAATATAGAGTTCATGATGGAAGGACCCAGATGTAGTTATTAGGAGCAAAACAAAAAACAACAAAAAAACAGCATTAACCTCATCTACTTCCTGTCTGTGCACACTGTAGGTAATGTTGAACAGGGTCTTGAGAATCTCAAGGGCACGCTGAGTCACCTCCTTAGACACAGGAGGTGCTGTGAGGTCAGTCAGCACCTCATGCGTTTCTCCCCAGCACACTTCTAAACACTGTTCCAGAGCAGCAGTCAGCATGGACACACCGCGCTCCTGACAGGAAGAGGACACACAATGATTCTCTGAAATGCCCACAGATATGAAAGAGGCAGTTTTGTGTTCTCGTAACAATTTGTTTTATGTTGTCTTTGACCACTAGGTGGTCTACAGTGATTCTGCAGGGGGTCCACTAACTGTTGTTTTATTTCAAATGATTTTTTAAAAATAAAATATGCGTTAAACAAAAATATAAGTAAAATTCAGAATTTAAGTTAAAAAGCTGAAGTTCAGCTAAATGTTTAATTGTCCCCCTGTTTAGTAAAATTGTAAAATGGCACTGTACATCCATCATGATCATTTTACCCAAAAATATGCAAATACGTTAATGGTATGGTACTATTCACGTTTTGAAATGCAGCCCTTAATTTTATAAAAACATTTCATAGGGAGTCCCTGCTCCATCTTTCTGTCCACAAGTGGTCATTGGCCTGGAAAAAAAATGTGTACTCCAATAATCCAATAAACTTTGGGGAAAAAAAATGTTTACAGTGTATGTATCACTAATAATATCATAATAATACCATATTCTACATTTGTATCAATGAGTGTTACCTGGCAGAGTTCTATTCTAAGCTCAGGTCGTAAAGCGGTCAACAGAAAGAGAAGCCGCAGTTCATAAAATTGACCACTTGGAGGTGATGAGGAACGTATGCCATCTTTAAGTCTTTCTGACAGGCCATGGAGCAACCTGGTGAAGAAAACAAAGCACAAGAGAATAAAACATAGAATGAGTTTTCTATAATAATATTGAAATATTGAGAGCATATTTGTCAAATGCTTCACAATTTGAGTCACACCTCAGGATACAGGCTCTCTCTTGTGCTTTCAGGCTGTTGTAGATGACATTGCACAGGGCCTTCATCGCCTCTTTCCTCCAGACCTCTCCATCGTCATGCTCCTCCTCTTCATCGTTCTCTCCTCTAGCATCTCTCTTTCCTCTTGTCAACAGTCCACAGACCCCATCTTTCCTCTCATTTGTTTCTCTCCCAACATTATAGTTAGATGTCACGTTCACAGGGTTGATCTGCACACCTTCACTGACCAAAGATTCAGCACAGGCCGCAAAGACACAGACTGAATCATCTCCCTCCCTGTAACATGTTGGATGTTGTGCATTGCTGCCATTATTATCCAGATGTGTCAATGTCTCATTCTCAGGAGTGATGTCACTTTGGGAGGAGCCCCACTCAGCCTCCTCTTCTTCAGGCAAGGTTGGCAGGGCGGAGATGCCCCCAAGTCGAGCAAGAGTTAGAATGGCATAGTCTGTGATCAGAGGAGCCAAGGCCTTTCGATCACGTGAGATAATTCTCAGAGTGCGCAGACACACTCTCAAAACGCCTGGCTGCAGCCGCATACGAATGAACCAGATCAGAGTTGCAGCAAGCCTCTGGAAGAGACAGAAATGAAAACGATGGAAAAGTCTGAATTATTTTGCATTGTATTTGATGGGAATATATAATGAAATACAACATAACCAAACGTATGTGGACAACCCTTCTAATTTGAGTTACAATTTGAATGTAAGGATCTGAAATTCTGAATGGATGGCTGGCTGGATGGATGGATAGATAGATTAACTATTGTGGGCCAGGTTGGAACAATAAATAGGAAGGAAGGAAGAAAGGAAGGAAGAAAATTCTCAAATATATGGATGTGGTGCTGGGTTGTGCTTTTGGCCATATTTTATTAAATAAGTTGTGAAAAAAAACTCACCCTCCGCAGAACAAGTTCTTGATCCTCATTCTCATCAGAGTCAAAATCTGAGTCAGAGTCTGGAACATACTCTCTCACTTTATTCCTGCGAAACTGAGTGAAGAAGAACAAACATTTACAAGAGACAAGAGAAAGTGAGGTAAACAAGCAGAAAAAAAGCTTTTAGCAATAACGAGCGGTGACATGGAAAAGAATAAAGTCAGTGTCTGCCCTTCAAACTCAAGATTCAGATTTAAACAGTGGCCTGCTTCTTTATATACAGAACACTGAAATTCACTGAAGACTAATAAAGGCTTTCAATGTTCAATCCCTGAACACCGAGCAGATATTATAAAGGCTTTAATTTATAAAAACTTTATTTTGTGAGCACAGGTATCATGAACAGAGTAACCGTCTAAATGGCTTTTTGTGAATTTATGAGAACCAGTCAATTATCTTTTTGACACACGGCACAATAATTGGTGCTTAGTAACAAAAAAATACATCTGACACAGACACTCTGGGTGTCGGTATGTACAGTACAGGTGCCCCAGGGTGAAACAGACGGCGAGTATATTAGTTTCAGATTACCCACCTCTCTCGTTTTTCTTTCCCACAGATGTCTCACTCCCTTTTTATTATCTACAGCAAACCTGCTCTTTTTCTGTAGGTCATGTGAAAGATTTACCTCTTCCAGCTCTCTTTGCTGTTCTCAGTTCACACATGTAGGAGAGTGATGAGTATATAGCAAAAAGAGAAAGAAAAACATGATTAAAAACATGCTTGTGACTATTATATACACTGAATGAATGAGATGAGAGTGAAGTGAGGGATAAAGATAAGTGAAGGTGGATGAGTGAGATTTACATTATTAGCTGTGTTAATCCAAGCCACGTGTGCCCTCGGATTGAGGGCAGACAGATAAACACACAAACTTTAGCATAGACTTTAGAATGTACCTTTTTTCTCTCTTTTTCTTCCACATCAAAAAAGAAACATTGTGAGTACTGTGAATAACAAAGGGAGAATTTAAAAGGTGAAATATAAGAGAGACAGCAGAATTTGAAGGCTCTGCAAATGCTAGACACATTAAAACTTCACCACACTGCAGAAATTGTAGAATGACTGGATAAGTAATGAGAAACACCCTTCAGGTTTACCCCAGTTCTGTTGTCATGGAAACTGCTAATATCTGAGTGTTGTAGAAGTAGTAGAAGATTCTAACACAGTTTTTTTTCTGCCTGGCATAGTGATGCGCAGTATTAATCTTATTATATTTAATTAATATTCAGTATTTTGCTTGAAATCGTATTTACCTCAGTGTTGTAATCATCCAGATGTATTTGAACAGTGTCCTGGTCGCCTTGTTTAATAAACTGAATAATCTTCTCCACGTCCACAGGCATTCTTAATAATTAATAATCAACCAAAATATAAAATGTGTTCATTTTCATTCAGAGTATTTCTGAAAAAATACTGATTTAACCTTATATAATGTTAGAGACACATTCATAGACTTGCACTTACCCTCTGTGGTTATAAAAGTACAGATTTCAAAAATGTGTGATGAGTTTCCTTCCAAACGACACGTTTTAAGTGTGTCTATGTGTCTGTCTTCATATGTTCCTCTTTGTAATCTGACAGGCCTCAGATTTAGCTTTAAATTTTCCTAAACTAATCCCACCCATCCTCTCTCACTCATTCACAACACTCATAAAACTCTATGACTATGTCTATGGGCACAGGTTTGCTTGTGTTGTATTTTCTTTCTTTCTTAAAGGGGTCATATGATGTTGCTAAAAAGAACATTATTTTGTGTATTTGGTGTAATGAAATGTGTTTATGCGGTTTAAGGTTAAAAAAACACATTATTTTCCACATACTGAACATTATTGTTTCTCCTCTATGCCCGCCTTTCTGAAACGCGTCGATTTTTACAAAGCTCATCGGTCTGAAAAGCGAGGTGTGCTGTGATTGGCCAGCTATCCAGTGCGTTGTGATTGGCCGAATATCTCAAGCGTGTGACGGACATGTTACGCCCCCACCCTACCATACTGTGATGCCTTTTGGAAGGCCAAACAAAGTAGCTTCACTTTCACAACGAAACACACAGCGTCACACACGGCGGGCTAGAGTGAGCGGAGGCCGGCTTGAGTGAGCGGCGGCAGGGGCGTGAGAACAGTGCGGCCGGCGGATTCGACGAAGGAGCGTCCGGTGGGCTTGCGGCAACCACATGTGATGACCCCGGGCTGGACTCTGCTTCGTCCACGGTGAAAGCCGATCCGGTGAGCCACAGCGCAAAGTTGATGTATTCCCTCAGCGACCAGCACGGATCAGCTCTAGGCATGACAAAGCGGATATCATCCTCTTTTGGAAGGCCAAACGAAGTAGTTTCGCTTTCACAATGAAACACACAGCACCTTCACGACATGGCGGCGGCGGCAACAATACTACAGCGAGAATAAAAGTTACGCCTTCTTTCTTTGTGTGAACATTTGTGTGGCGTTATGCAAATCTTCCCACATCGTGACGTAGACATGTGGGGGCGTGTTGGAACGAGTCGTTTTAGGTAGACGTGGTTGACTCTTAACTTTTATAAAGAATATCTTTGGATTTGAGACTTTAGTCTTTGCAACTTTACAGATCTTCTTTACGCACCAAGAGTTTGTAACACTCCAAAGATAAAGGAAAAATTTAAATCGCATCAATTATGACCCCTTTAATAATCTAAAAATAATTCTACTCACTGTGAGTTATCCTCAGAACAGGAGTGCTAATTAGTGAGAAAGCCAATAGGGACAGACAATAGGAACCAAAAAACAAACAAAAAAATAACTTGAGCTGCTATGCTGGGATTCAGACAACAGTGAGAAAAAGACAGAAGGTTGGAGAGAGAAAGAGAGAGATGAAAGCAGCACAGGTTTATATAAAGCTTAATAGGGGTAATTAAACAAAGTGGGGGCCAGGAACAGAAAGGCTGGGATGACTGGGGTGAGCTGATAGGGGTAATTATTTGTACTGAGTGAAGGTGATTAATTGAGGCTAGTTGTTCAGCTCACTGATGGACCCTCATAAAACGCAGAGTCCATTAGAAGAGAGAGACATGACAGACAGACAGACAGAGAGAGAGAATAACCACAGTACTAGAGGGCTGGAATGACACTTTCACTCTTGACAGGGCACAATCAACCTGACCAGACAGGAAAGAGTTGCTATTTTTTTGTTTCATGATCTGTAAAGTTTCCTCGTAAGGAGAATGCACAGATCTGTATTGCTCCTGTTGTCGCTGTGTGCCGGCTCTCTGGTGACCCATAGTGGTGCGTTCGGGAATCGAAGGCTGTGCGGGACTCAGCTCGTGGAAGCGCTGCTGCTTGTCTGTGGTGACAAGGGTCTCTTCTACCAGCCTGGCAGGCGTATCAGAGAGCACAGTTTCCGTGAGTGCTGTTACGCATGTATTTCTGTGCGATAGATTCAGTCAACATTACAATAAGTCCTAGCCTACTATCCATATTTTTTGTTGAAATTATTTTGCGTAACAAGCATTAAGATAACCCAATCGATGCAAATTAAAGTTATTGGTTAGAAAAAGACAAATTCAATATCACATTGTGTGTGTGTGTGTGTGTCTGTCTGTCTGGTAGAGTTTAAGAGGCTATAATTTAAGAGCGAAGAAAAATAAATTATAAAAACGAACTAAAAACCGATTTTGTTCAGTAATGTATTTGTTTCCATATTTATATTTATACCATATTTATTTATTGCATTTTTTCTATAAAACAGTGCAAGTAAACATATTAAAGGGATAGCTAAAAACTGTCATTAAAATTATGTAATCATACTGTTGTACCAAACCAATATGACTTTCTTTATTCTTTTGAACGCAAAAGAAAATTATATAGAAAAATGTTGGCATCTAGACAATTTTGGTGCCCGCCTGCACAATTACTTCTATTGTTTAGAGGGAAAAAAGAATTACACATTTCTCAAAATATCTTATTTTATGTTCAATAGAAGATAGAAAGTCATACAGGCTTGGAAGAGGGTGAGTAAATTATGACATAATGTTCATTTGTGGGTGAACTAAGCCTTTTAAGTCTGAAATTTAATAGGATAAATTTAAGATATGTTATCAAGCCATTAGACTACTCTTATATAAAAAAGATCTTTTAACATCAAAAGGGCAGACTTTCAGGTGTAACATTTTTGTGGCAGTATCCAATTAAGTCCCTGTAGCCAACCATCCCTGGTCTCCCCATCTATTGAAGAGAGTAACAGAGTAGCCTATTAGACGTTCATTAAGGTCTTTCTGTTTGTATGCGTTGTGTAGAAAATGGAAAAATTAATTTTATACAAGTATGCATGCTACGCCTGTATAGACTACTTTTGAATCCTTTGTAACACTGCTCGTCTTTCAACAGGTGTAAAGATGAGGAACAGCGCCCCCTTCCTGCTGCAGACTGGAGTGGCTGCTCAGAGTGCAGAGATGGGCACCGCCAGAAGCAGTGTTGCAAAGAGAGGCATTGTAGAGCAGTGCTGTCATTTCTACTGTGACTATTATGACCTGGAGAATTACTGTAACACATAGAGAATCTGCTGAATACACGTCGCCTGATAATGACTTGCATTATTTAAGTACTGCAGGTTTGGGATATGGTAGGCCTATTTGGATGATACCATTGACCTAATTATGTAGCTACAGCTGTGAATGAAGGATCACTTTAAATATTACGCATTGGGCATGTTTATGATTAAAATGTTTGCATATATATATATATATATATATATATATATATATATATAAAACGGACTGTTTTTGTTAGTGTTGCACAAAACAAAGGCTAGGATGTTAGAATGTTTATTGTAGGCCTTTATAATTATTATTATATTCCTGTAACTCAAACAGTAAAAGCATGTCACTAGCAACACCAAGGAGATGGGTTTGACTCCCAGGGAATGCTTGAACTGACAAAAGTGCATAGGCCTACATTCAATACAACACAATTCATAAAAAATTAAACAGTATAAAAATAGGCCTACAATACAAAAAAAAATGTTTCAATTGTTTTTGTGTAAACTTTTTTACCTTTCCAAACAATACTGCAGTTTTATTAAAAATTAACCATCACGAATGTGCCAACAGAAAAAAACGAGTTATTATTCAGTTGCATTTAAAACCCAATTTTAAAATCAAATAGTATAGTCATACTATATTATTAAACTATATTGTATTTACTATTTCAAAATCACTTGAGTGCAGGCTCAAAGAATCACCATAGCATATATTTTAGACCATCAAGGATCGACTACATGACATAAATGTTAATGTAATGTGATCATTTAACCCTGACTTACTTGGTAGATTTTCTACTTTCTAATATTTCTCTTTAATTACAAAGACATTTCCATTCGCCTCTGATTTGCATCGTCGCCACACAAGCAGTCTTTGATGAAAAACATCATTTCCCATAAGCCCATGCCGGCAGTTTCACAGAAGGGGAAGCAAAATGGCGGAATCGGATGGGATGGGCCTCTTTTTGTGTTCCTTAAAGAAAGATGTTTCGTGCCTCTGCATGCCGTTTTAAAGTTAACAAAAACATTGTGGCGGTTTTTAGCAGATCATCAGCTTTGGGATTCATCAGCCGGCTCATCTCTGCACTATGAAGGTAAACGGCTCTTATAGCTTGTCTAACTTAGCTAGCCAGCTAACCCCTGTGGATGACAAATTGTAGGTTATAAATTACTGCTGCTAGTGCGAGAAGGTTGCTTAAAATGAAGCACAGATAATTAAAAAGTCAGCTAGTAATACTCGGTGCATTCAGAATGAGACGTATAGTAAGTATTGCTGGTTATTTTATGACAGTTAACAAGTGAGTACATAGGTAGGCAAACACTGCAGTGGAGCACACCGACTAGATAGCATCATACATCAGTTTCATTCACTGCACTGCACGATCAGTGCTGTCACTGGGTCAAGAAGCGAAGACACCGTGTTGAATGTCAATACAGATCAAGCTTTCTCAGTTTACTCGAGTAAGCAAGTTTCCCTGGGTGCTCTTCAAGTTAAAGGTGGAGATTTAATGCAGAAGTAGTTTCCTCTAATCTCTCAGGTATGATTATCATAACGGGTTAAGCTTTATGATGGCCCAGAGCTGGTGTTTCTGATCTAGGCTATTTATAACAATAGTGTTGTCTGCTATGTGTAGATGGGAACAGATGGACAGGCTGAAAAAGACGAAGGAGAAATTGTGCCAGGCAAGGTAAGTGTCATATCATCTTGTTAATGCAGGAGCAGGTTGGACAGTCACTGTGATCATATATGTATTATAGACCATAAGATTAAGATTCAGCATGCACAGCACTCTGCTGAATACGCTTAATGTCTTCTGTCTTGTCTTCTTGTAGTCACAATCTGAACAATGTCCTGATGAAGAGGAGGAAGTGGAGTCTAAAGCAGACAGAAGGACAGTTGGCTTAAGATGTTTCCAAGGAAACCGAGAGACCTCAGAGGATGAGCCTAGTGAACTGGTAAAATTTAGTTTATTTATTTAGTTCAGTCCTGTTACATGCTTTGTCTGGCTGTTATTTTTTAAATTGGTCACCCTTGAACCAATTAATTTGTTACACTCTTGTAGGGGGCTGCTGTTGTTACTTCCTCTGAGCC